ATATATATGTGTGTGTGTGTGTACCACGTTTGTGGGACAAAAACAGAACACAAATACAAGGAACAAGGAACCCTCATGGGCTGAACCATACATGTCTACATATGTGGCTTGTTGTATAGAATGAAGGTACAAAAATAAGTATAGAGTACAAGCAGCACTTTTTGAAATATACACGTTGCTCATAGCAGAATGAGACTAGTTTGGGAGCCAAATATAGCCCAAACTCAGGTTGAACAATTATTTAACCCCCCCCCCCCCCCCAAATACTTTTTTTGGGAAGGGTGTTTCAGGCTATGCCTGGACTAGTCCCGACAAATTGTGACCGCAAGAAATCAGCCCTAATAAACTCAGTGGCCACAATTGGTGTGTACGCCTGGAATCGAACCCTGGACAGATGGGATATTCCACCTCAACCCTCACGGACCTCAACCACTACGCCACAACCATCCCCCTCCTGATACTCCAGTTACAAGTAATGCCAATCCGTTATTGTCTTGTTAGATGCTAACTTCAGTTGGTCATGATCAACCTACGTCAGCAATAATAATGCATTTATCATATCTTCTCGTGTGCAGGAGCATCGACAAACATTGGAGAAGCTAAAGCTTCAAGTATCCATGGACTACGCCATGTTTTTGCAGTTTTGATTGGTCTAGTGTCATCATTGGCTGGTGGAGTGAGTTACTGCCTTGTAAGGGCTGGAGCAAAGGCGTCTGACCAACCCGTGTAAGTATTGCTCGTCTCATTCTATTGTTTGTCAAATGTAATATCTGTTCATAGAAAGCACATCTGATAAGAAATCGTCTAATGCTAAGCTTGGCCTTAGTTCTGATGGTTTGAGCCCACACCTTTGGTCCTAGTACTTGTGGGTTCTTAGGGTGGATATGAGAAAATATTTAGATACCCATTATTACAAAGGAAGCTTCAAGCTCATATTGGTCATGGGTTGAGAACGGAAATGAAACTCTATTACCTCCTTGGTTGCAACCTCTCTTAAAAACTGAAAAAAGGCCTGGGGTCTGATCGATCCTATTTTTTTCTTACTTTTTAGCCTAAAAAGGAAGGAAAATGAAAGTAAATTTTCTTATTACATACACTCTAGATAAATAATGTTGCACCAAGAGTGGACCTTTCTATTGCTTTCTCTTGCATGTAAGTTGCATAATTGTTACTATGGCTAGTAAATATCACTGCCTCACATGGACTTTCGTAGGGCCACTTATTTACCAGAATATGTTTTCCAGTTGTCACAGACTTTACAAAATTACATCATCTTTCTCCTGCTTGTTCAAGCTAAGGGACTGTTTGGTTGGTTTTTCATTAAGTCCTGTATGGATAAAGCTATCTGTGTGGATTAATTTGTCTGAATAGATTGGGAAGGTTTTTGTTTGAGAGGGTTTTTTCATAGATGGAAGAAGCGTGTTTTTTAATTGGGAGGGACAGGTTTGAAAAAAAAAAACTTGGATTTCTGCATAAAGCTCCCCCTAGAAGCTTACCGAATAAGCCACTTTCTATATCATTAAGCCACTACCAAACAGTCATGTATAGCTGACCAAATAATCTGTGAGTCCCATTAAGCTCATTAAGCTGCTAACTTCTTTGTCAAATTATTTTTCATTTTTCTTTCAGGGGCACTATATTTTCGTTTGGCCTATGCGCTAGTCCTGCTGCAGCAATATGCATGATCACCACCGAAGTAAGATTGTGATTTGCTAAAATAAATTTTACAGAATTTGCTGTGCTGTCATGCTGTCGGCTTCTGTTATGTACTACAGCCGAGGGCCCTAAATTTTGCTGTACATGGATATCCACATCCAAAATTGTATGAGTTGATTTGATTTTTATAATTGAATGGGTACGTTGTACCAAATATATAAATATGCTAGAGTTACCGTGGCCAATAATTCACATTCATAATTGCGATAATATACTTGTCTTTGTAAGTATCTCAAAGCGGTAATGTGAAAAGACCCACAATAAATATTGAACTCCATAACAAAAAAAATTACAAGCAACTTGTTATATTGTGCTCCCTTTTTCAAGAGCGGGTTGTGTGACCTTTGACATAAATTCATTGCTTTCCACATAGGTTTCCTACTATTCCTTATGTTCCAAAAAAGTGCAACGCTTTCTATTCTGGTTGTCCCAAATGAAAAATGCAAAAATGAATCCTTTTCTGTAAATAATTCATTCCAAGATTACCTATTTGCCCATTAGTAACCATTCTCTCCTTTTCCATGTGATCCATTTGAGTTGCATATTTGACGTTGCAGTTGGATTTATTCATTACAAAGAATCAGTTCATATTTGTGTTATGTTAGAAATGGATCATGATACTGAATCATCTTATAATGATTGATTCCTCAATTATGTTGCTAGCAAATGCCACTGTTTTTGGTTCTGGCTTTTCCAAATTATTCTTGCAGGAGATCCAGACTTTCTGTTTTCTTTTCTATCGTATAATAAATAGCAAATAGAACCCATAAAAGCAATAAATTTGTCGTTTTCTATTCACCATGGAGCTGAATGCTTCTTTGATGTTCGGTTGGTGTTCCTTTAAGTCCTTCATGGATAAAGCTGTCTGTGTGGATTAATCTGTTCGCATAGATTGAGAAGGTTTTTGTTTGAGAGGGTTTTTTTATAGATGGAAGAAGCGTGTTTTTAATTGGGAGGAACATGTTCGGAAAAAAAACCCTGGCTTTCTGCATAAAGCTCCTCCCTAAAGGCTTACTGAATAAGCAACTTTCTATATCATTAAGCCACTACCAAACAAGCATGTATAGCTGACCGAATAAGCTATGAGTCCTATTAAACTCATTAAGCTACTAACAAACAGGGCCAGGCCTGTTATGATCTTATGTGTTCAATATTTTCTTGCAGGACTTTGTGCTGCCTAGCTTCTACTCGTTCATTCTTATGATCGTTCTTAGCATATTGGCTTTTTTTGCTGAGGTGAGCTGCTGAACCTAGGCCATATCAATATGCTCAAATAATATACAATATATCAGACTCGAGATTTCCCTTCTGTATGTTATTAGGGCCATGTACTAGTCGAATTTCTATTTAAAAAAGACTTGTGCTGCAGTTGTTTCTGGCACGTGGGCTTCAGCTCGAGAAAACCAGCAAAGTTGCAAATATTCAGTACCTTGAGGTAAGTTCTATTCTTGCTGCTTGTTTGTAAGAAACATATAGCCGTTTGGTTGCTTTCTATTAAGTTCTATATAGATAAAGTTGTCTATGTGGATTAATTTGTTTGTATAGATTGGGAAGGTTTTTGTTTAGGAGGGTTGTTTCATAGAAGAAATGAGCATGTTTTTTAATTGGGAGAGATAAGTTTGGAATTTTTTTGGCTTTCTGCATAAAGCTCCCCCTAGAAGCTTACTGAATAAGTCATTTTTTATATCATTAAATCACTACCAAACAGTCATGTATAACCTTTGGGTCCTGTTAAGCTCATTAAATTGCTATCAAAAAGGCTCATACTCATATTAGAGATATAGCTCTAATTATATGGGTTAAAAGATGGCTGCAAATTGTCATAATAAGGACAACCAATATCCTCTTATCACTTCTACTTTTCAGCATTGATCTCCCTAGATAGGTAAATATTATTTTAAAAATACTCGCTCCGCTCTAAAATAATTGTCCACAATGAAAAAGAAACACAATTTTAGAAATGTGTAATTATTAAACTTTTTCATTAGCTAAATGACAATTTTACCCTTAATAACAGGGTAGTAATGAATTTCTTGATCTCATAATTAAGGGTATCATTGGAAAGTAAACACCTATGTTTGAAAGTGGATGCTTACTTTGAGAAAAACTAAACTAGAAATGTGGATACTTATTTTGGAACAGAGGAATATTACCCTTACTTGTTTAGGAAAGAAATCAGATTTTCCAGTATCCACGTACCAGTATACACGCCGACCTACAATATTGTAGAACTTTTGATCACTTAATTAACAAATAGTTGAATATTTCTAATAAAGACAACCCTTTGACAGCAAGAAGGGTTTCTAGTGGGAAATGGTCCCAAAAACTTTGGTTCTTTTACTTTTTACCTTGTTAAGTTGATGAGAATGTCAAAATCATATTGGGGGCAGGGGAAATATATGAAGAATATTGTACCCTTTTCAGAAAATCCAGAAAACATAAAGAACCTATTCTTGATAGATAAGAAAGTGCATAATGTACCCTTTTCTGGCCTGCAAAAATGCATCTACCTTTATTGGAAGGAGCTTCCTGGAAGCCCGCTCCCCGCCCCCCTCCCCCGCCCCCAGATCTGTGAAATTTATGATAGATTGGTGGATGCTGCAAAGGGGTTTGTTTACAGTTTTAGAATCAGTAGTCTGTTGCATTCATTAAGACTAGCATTATTATGATAGATATATTGTGAAGTTTGTTGAACATCTGAAGAAGAGTGGCGATGTTTATAGGAAAAAGTTTTAGACCGAAAAGAATAAGACTCGCACACCGTCTTCATAAGTACCAAGGATAATAAATTTATGACAAACTCGGGCTTTACTGCAACAAAAACGGCTTTATAGGACGTCAGATATGTTTAAATGTTCTGACTGCTTTAGTAGAATTAAATTTATAGGACCAGCTAATTGTATGTTCTATGTAAATGTGTTAAAATAAGTCGATAGGATGTTTTTGGGCGTCCTAGCAAGTTTTTTAGGACAGTTTTGAAATAAAACGTAATATTAGTTTTTTAAATGACACTTGAAAAAGTGTCTTACAAAAACAACTGTTCTGTAAAGATATTTGTTCATGGGATAATTCTCAAAAGTGTCCTACACAAAATGCTGATAGGATGCTTTATTTAAGAATGTTCTAAAAAACTTGTTAAGATACCTAAATATGTTCTGACATTCTATTGTAAGACACATCTACATAGGAGGCACAATTGTTTGGTCCTATAAACTGAAGTCCTATAAAGCAAGTCTATTACGACAGTAGACATCTTTGGCGTTCTATAAAGCCCATTTTGTATCTTTTTAAATCAGTTAAAAAAACTAATAAAATCACATTTCGCATAAAATTCAAGGTAAGAACTGTCTACAATGGTACTGACTTATAAGAACTGTACTTTTTGCTTATAAGAACTGGCCGTTAAAGATGTTGTAATTCATCAAAAAAAAAAAAGGCGAAAAACACCAAATGCAAATCGAAGATTAGCTAGAAGTCATCTTGTATTTATCTATGTGTTGTTCGACTTGCTTTTCAGGTTGCATTATTCCAGTTATGGGGGATGGGATCATCGCGAGTAGGCTTATCGTTTGGTAGACTTGTTGGATGCTTTCTTGTATTTGTTTCCGCTTCTTGTACCGTATACTTCGGACCCGAAAAGGAGATGGAGTAAGATGTGTGTGTCCTTTATGTCTTACAAAGGTTAGGCATGCACCCATTATACATACATACATACATACATATATATATATATATATATATCATTTTTTTTTATTAACCTGGATATTCAACCCGCTATGCGGGTCGACTAATCCCAGGACGACCAACTGTTTTGCTGATAGCCCGGAGTCATCACATTTGAATCTCCGTGGCCATATGGGAATTTTTATTCCTCCTTGAATTTGAACATGGGACCTCCAGACACTTTTGACCTTTTTTTATTAACCTGGATATCCAACCCGCTATGCGAGCCGACTAATCCCAGGACGACTACCTGCTTTGCAAGTAGCCCGGAGTCACCGCATTTGAACCTCCGTGGCCACAAAGAGATTTTTATTCCTCTTTGGATTTGAACCTGTGACCTCCTGGTATTTTTAATCTTTGGAGCCAAACTCAAACCAATCAGACACCACCCTTGTGGTTCACTTTTGACCTTTGAAGTCCAAGCTCAAACCAATGGTATCACTTATCATATTCAAGTACATAGAAACAAAAATGGTTCAAGATTAACATCATAGAGTCATCATGCTATATATGATGATTTGTCATGTTTTTGGTCTGAATTTTGTCCTTTTAACCTATAATGAAAAGCTTGATTTAGGATGATAGCATAAAGTATGATATGTTTGTATAAACAATCATTCATTTGGGTCAAATCAGTATCTTGAAAACGTTAAAAATGTAGTGTTTTAAAATATGTAAAATTATATATTTCTTGAATATAAATCTAGATATACACAATTAAGATATTTAGGATTTGTCCCGACCCGGTAGAGAACCCGGCTCACCCGACCCGAACAGGGACAGAGATTCCCTGCTAAAACGGGTTCCAGGGCCGGGGATCCCCGATAGACTCAAACAACGCCTTGAATTGGTTTTCAAAAGATCTTTCGAACCAAACTTTATAAAAAATTGAGCTACTTTTTTCTAATTATTGTTCTGATTGAATGTCTGCATAATTTGATGGAATTACCTGAGGGGTCGTTACCAACATCTTGACGGATAAGAGGCATAACAAGAATCAAGAGTCTTATCCAAGCTCTGAATCGTTAAGAGATGAATCTTGTTTGGTAAAAAAAAAAAAGTTTGTCTCTTAATGGTTCTTTAAACCCTCTAGATGGTTTTGTATCGTAGGTCTCTCTTAACCATTCAGCGTCTTAATTTCATTGTACAAATTTACCAAAGCAATTTTATTTCATTTTGCACTATATCAGGAGAGCCTCTTAATCATTTTGCACCAACTCATTCAGCAACTGCCAAACAACCCCTTAGAGCATCCCAAACAGATTCTCCAATATGGAGAATCAAAAATCAAAATCATTAAAGAGATTATATTCATCTCCAACCGTTTCTTCATTTTGGATATGAATTATATTATTATTAAAATATTCAATACATTTCATAAAATATTATTTATCTCTCTTATACATTTAATTTCAAATATTCTCATTGATAGGAAGAACAAATATTCCTCATTTTGGAGAAGGTTTTGCGGAATCTGTTGAGCACGAAATCTCCAAAATCTTCATTTTGGAGAATCAGTTGGAGATGCTTTTATTGGATAAAAGATTTTTCCAACAATCCATTTTGATGGTCGATAATGCCACCCAACATGGTAAGTGAAATTGGTAACTTTTGTTCGTAAACACTTACCCGATAAATGTTTGGTAAACGATCCCTAAAAATATGCAATAAATTCAATTATTGCAATTTCAAGTTGTTTTCAACAAAATTTGATTTTGGCGTAAAACATTTTGAAACCAAAATAATTAATAATTAAAAAGCAGATAAGAAAGTATTTGTTAAAAAATGATATTGATTTTGTATACTGAAAAGTAATTGATGCTCATGCAATCCTTCCGGACTACCATATATATGTATATAGGGTTGTTTTTATATGAGACCAGCTTATTTTCGTAAGATCTGTGAGACTATATTTTTACATTTGAAACTTCACATCAAAATATTGTGAAGGTAAAAAGATGCGAACCTTCACAACATATTTACTATCAAAGTTACATTCACAGTGTTTTACTGTAAAGTTTCAAGTGTAAAAATGTGGTCTCACATGATCCTAAGTATGTGTGTATAGGGTTGGGTTCACGTGAGACCAGCCTGTTTTCATTAGACCACTTTTTTACACTTGAAATTTCACAGCAAAACGTTGTGAAGGTAAAAAAAAAAAGGCCAAACCTTCATAGCAAAAACACTGTGAAGATTACCTTCACAGCTTTTTGTTATGAAGTTTCAAGTGTAAAAAGTGGTCTCACAGGTCTCACGTGATCCCAAGTCTCTCTCTATCTCTCTCTCTCTCTCTCTCTCTCTCTCTATATATATATATATATATATATATTTAATAATCATCGTGGTTTGGGAAAACGTCTGGATTCCATCCCTTCCTATAACGACTGTTAAAAATTCAGTCAAATGATGTGCATTTCCATCATCATTTTGTCGTTTACCTAATCAAAATCAATTTTATGATTTATGATTGGGTAAATGATAAGATAAAAAGACAAAAAAAAAATGTTCTTTATTTAACAAAAATTTTAACAACCACTAACGATAGGGATCAAATCCATACGATTTTGCAAACCATGATAAATCTGTTATTTTCGACAAACTAGAAGGACCAAATTTGTAGTTTACTCTAAGCAATATTACAAGATTCAATAGTTGCCTCTATTCACATCGTCTCGAATTGTTTGTTTACCTCTTAATAGTTCCATTAAGAGATAACCTATGAATCGTTAAGAGGTAAATCTTGTTTGACAAAATAAAAGTATATCTCTTAGTGCTTCTAAAACCCTCTAAATGATTTTGTATCTTGGATCTCCTTTAACCATTAAGATCCTTGAGTTTGTTTCAAATACAACCTGTTGTATTTGTACAACCAATGCAACCCAATAAATTGAGGTATTTATGGAAATGATGAGAGTTCATTTATTATGATTTGAATATTTATGGAAGATGGATATGGTTCATTAATTATGATTAATACTTTTATATTATAAAACAATCAAAACTTCTATGAAATCACATATTAATCAAATGAAATGGACGGTTGAGATTGGGTTGTATTGGTTGCACAAATGTCATGGGTTGTATAATAACCAACCTCTAAGATCCTTAATTTCATTGTACATAATTACCAAACAATTATATATTTCATTTTGCACTATATCATGAGAGCCTATTAATCATTCTGCACCAAACCATTCAGCAATCGTCAAACAACCCCCTAAAACAAAAGTAATTTTGAACTTGACTTATGTGCTCCTACTAAATTGCCCCCCTAGTTCACCTTTATTTACCAAATTGACCTCTTGTTTCAAGAAAGGGGGGAAACAACATTTGAACCCTGTCTCATTTTGTTTGCATAGTGGAGGGGTCCTTATTGGGAAAGAAACACAAGGGTAGATTCCCATCAAGTTGGTACAATTATCAACTTATTAACATTTTATGATTTTGAAATTAAATTGAAAAGCGTGTCAGTTTATCCGTATCTGATTTTGGGATGACGATACTGATGGGTATGCATTCATACAATTTAAGTCAAATCGTAATCAAATCTGTCAAGAACTGAAGTTACAAATAGATAAATCGTTGTAGTCTTCGATAGGTTTTAAAATTTGAAACAACTGTACAATCACAGGTCAATTGATATTAGGTGTCGTATAGTACATTCTTGACCCCTCTTTGAATAGATGATGATGTATACGTGACATGGTTTAATGACATAATCAGTATAACAGTTTATCATAAGCAAAAAAAATACTGGGAAAAAAACGTAGTTTTGTTGTACCTTGTTATTTTCTTGTTGCAATATTGATAAGTATATATATATATATATATATATATATATATGTTAATACCAAAGGGCTTTTGGCCTAGTGGTATGTGAGTCTTTAGCCTCGTAGGAGGTCAAAGGTTCAAACTTCACCAAATGTGAGGAAGGTGTGTGAGTTTATTTGTTCTATTTGTCATATATGAATATTATATACTTAAAAAAAGTATATATGTTAATTAATATTATATTATAAAGCATTTAGGTAAAAGTCCTAAAAACCGTTCATTAAGTATTGTTTAATGATATATATGTGATGTTGTTTACTAACATAATCGGTATACTAATTTATGATAAGCAAAATAAATACTGGAAAAAACGTAATATCTGTTATACCATAGTATTTACTTGTTGCAGTATTAATCAGTATATATGTTAATTAATATTACTTTATACTATATTATAGAACATTTCTGTAAAAATCTTAAAACAATTTGTTAAATATTAAATATTGTTTAATAATATATAATCTCATAAATTTTAATTTTACCAGTAATTACTACGTACATACAATTGTTTAGAACTTTATATAAGTAACTAATTATCAACTGGTAAATATGCTTAAATATACAAATAATCATTGAGGATTGGGTTCACGTGAGACCAACCTGTTTTCATGAGAACCGTGAGACCACTTTTTTATACTTGAAACTTCACAGCAAAACGCTGTAAAAGTAAAAGAAAGTCGAACCTTCACAGTAAAAACATTGTGAAAGTTATCTTCACGGCGTTTTCCTGTGAAGTTTCAAGTGTGAAAAAATGGTTTCACAGTCTCATTAAAACAGACTGGTCCCACGTAATCTCAAGTCTAATCATTGATACTACCAATGACAATAAAATATTTCATCATTATCTTTATCCAAAAAAAAAAATCTATCATTAAAACCAATATAAATTACATTTTAATGTTTATATTTAAATTGTGATTTTTAAAATTAAATAAATTATATCAAAAGATATGAATTTTATAGCTTCTAGTTTTATTTTAATAATACAATTGCAGGTTTTCTTTTTAATTAAAAATTATTTAATTTTTCATTTTTTTTTTTGAAATATATAATATTTATATACGACAAATACAACAAATAAATTCATACACCCTCCTCATCTTTAGTGAGGTTTGAACCCCTGATCT